ACTCAGTGCAAACAGGAAGAGAAGGCTAAGGAAGAGTTCTAAATAATCTGGCTAAGAAATGAAAAAGTGCCCAAACAAAAAGCCTATTTGCAATGCATGGAATGGTATATGTTTCCTTAAACTTTTTTCTTTTCTTTCCTCTCCTTCTTTCCTCCATTCCTTTTCTATTCTCCAGGAATTAAAAAATAAATTTTGTCAAACCACTAGGTGATCACAATTAAAAGAATACAGAGTCCAAAGACAAGTGGCAAAAATATAGTTTTTAAAAAATGTTGAAATGCCACAACTACAAATCAAACCAAGTAACAAGAAACCCTGAGGGGAGGGTCATCCAGAGATACCACATTATAATATTGAAATGGTCCAGCCAGCTTTTCAAGAAAAAAATTACAAAGCATGCAAACAAGCAAAAAGGTATGTCCTATTCATTGGGGGGGAGAGGCAGAAGTCAATGGAAATTATCCCTGAAGAAGCACAGACATAGGACTTAACTACACAAAACCTTTACATTAAGTCTTTTTTTTTTTTTTACATTAAGTCTTAATAAACTTAAAGAGATAACAGAAACCACAGTAAAAAGAACTAAATGAAGCCAGACGAATAATGTCTTCACATAAAGAATCAATAATTAAAATGAAAAATCCACTAGTGGCTTTCAAAAGTAGTTTTGAGCAAGCAGAAGACAGTGAACATGAAAGTAGGTCAACTGAAATTATGCAGTCTGAAGAGTAGAAAGAAAAATATGAAGAAAAATAAACAGAGCTTAAGAGACTTGTACACTTGTTTCAGATAGACAAGTGTGGATGGGAGAGTTGGAAGGGGTCAACCTCAGCGAATGTACCTCAAAACCATGTACCTCTCCCACGCCACGTCTCCCGTCGCCCAACCGACTGACACTCCCTACTTCTTCTAACGCCACTTCTTCAAAATAGACTCGCCCCGGCCAAAAACCGACTTCTGTGCATGGGCCACGAAGTTTCAATCGCACTGTATGTGGGCGCCTGCACGTGGTAATTTGTGGAAGAGCCACACTCAAGGGGCCAAAGAGCCGTATGTGGCTCAAGAGTCGCGGTTTGCCGACCACTGATCTAACCCAAAGTTAGAAGGAAGGAAATAATAAGGATTACAGCAGAGATAAACAAAACAGTGAACAAAAAATAGAAAAATAATGAAAAAAGGGTTGGTTTTATTACAAGGTCAACAAAATTAACAAGTCGTTAGCTAGATAAAGAAATGAGAAGATTCAAATGACTTAATCAGAAATGAAAGGAGACATTACAAACAGTATCGCAGAAAGTGGATTATGGAAATGCTATGAACAACTGTACACCAAAAAAATGAATAAACAAGAAGAAATAAATTCCTAAAAACATACAACCAACAAGACTGAATCATGAAGCAGTAACAAATATGAACGGACTTATAATGAGTAAGGTGATTGAAGCAGTAATCAAAACCCTCCCAGCAAAGAAAAACACAGGATTGGCAGCTTCAATGGAGAGTTCAAAAGAAATAACACCCATTCTCTTGAAACCCTCAAAAAATTAAAGTGGAGGAAATATATCCAACCTTATTCAATGAGGCCTGCAATACTCCGATACTAAGCCAGACAAAGACACAACAAGAAAACTAGAGACCAATATTCCTGATGAATACTGATGTAAAAATCCTCAACCACATAGTAACAAATGGACTTCAACAGCATATTAAATGGATTACTATACCATGCTCGAGTTGGATTTATTCCCACATTGCAAGGATGGTTTAACATATAAAAATCAACCAATGTAATACACCACATTAACAGAATGGACACAAAAATATGATCATCAATTGATGCAGGAAACACATTTGACAAAATTCAACACCATTTCATGATCAAAGAAACCAAACCTCAATAAACTAAGAATAAAAGGAAATGGCCTCAATATAATAAAGCCCATTTATGAAAAGCACACAGTTAAACTCATACTCAATTGTGAGACTGAAAGCTTTTCCTCTAGATGAGGAACAAACAAGACCATCCGCTCTTGCTACTTCAATTCAACATAGTACTGGAAGTTCCAGTAAGAGCAATTAGACAAGAAAACAAAATAAAAGCATTCAAATTGAAAAGAAAAAAATAAAATTTTCTCTATTCACAGACAACATGACCTTATATAGAAAACTCAAAAGATAACACACACACACACACACACACACACACACAGTTATAAGGAAACAATGTCATTTATAATAGCATCAAAAAGAATAACATACTTAGGAATAAAGTTAACCAAGGAGATGAAATATTTGTGCACTGAAAACAACAATATATTGCTGAATTTTTTTTCAAGACACATATAAACAGAAATATATCCAATTAGTGATTGCCAGAGTCTGGGAGCAGGAAGGAATAAGGAGTACCTACCTAAATAGGTACAGGATCTCTGCCTTTGGAGTGATGAGATATTTTGGAACTAGTTCGAGCTGATAGTTGCAAAATACTGCAAATCTAAAAGGTTACCTAATTTTATACTTAAAATTGATTATTTTAGGTGAATTTTTCCTTAAAAAATCAATTACATTTCTATATATTGACAATAAACATAAAATCTGAAATTAAAATCACAACACTACTTATAATCAATTCAAATAAAACAAAATACTCAGGTATAAACAATGAAATATGTAAAACATCTGTATGGTAAAATTATAAATGCAGATGAAAGAAATCAAATACCTAAATAAATGGAGAGCTATACATGTATATTAGAAGACTCATTCTTCCCAAATCAATCTATAGGTTTATTGTAAACCGTACAAAATTCTAGAAAAGATTTTGGTAGACACAGGCAGGCTTATTTTAAACTTTTTTTAAGCATGAAGTATAACAATATTAAGCTTTAAAAGAAATTACCACTGAGAGTCAGGAGTGGACCAATAAAGTGTCTAGATTTGCTCCAAGGGTAAAGGAGAAAGGAGAACCTAAATGAAATAAGACTGTATATTTGATTATAGCTTTTTCCTGTATGACTTCTCTTCACAGCTTAATTATTTTACAGCTCTAATGAGAGGCAGTACTAATAATATTTAAGGAAGCTAAATTACCTGATTAAAATCATAACTCTTTCACTGGAAGGTTAATTAAACTCAATGTATCTCAGTTTACACACTCATTATATCTCTGTTGCCTTATCTAAAAACAGAGGATTGAATTAATACTTATAAAGACCTATAACAAAGCCTGGCATATAATATGCACAATTATAATTGTTAAATAAAATAAATCTGGGCTTATCATGTTTTGGGTTTTTAATCAATCAGGCAAAAAAAAATATCTAACTGCTTGTCAAGTGTAGAAAAAGTAAGCACAATAAACTTTTATTTAAAAAAAATCTAAGGTTACAAGTTAGTTTTCAATTAATCAAAATAACATAAGAGCCTGCCAACTGCAGAGGGTGCTATAGGAGATGTAAATATTTAATATCTTTCTATCTTGTCATACTTTTAAGTCATTCAATCAATAGGTGGTTCAGTTTACAACCAGGGGAGAAGATATAGAGAGAAAATGACCTCCTAGGGACTATGTCACCTCAAGACAAGGCAGGATTTGAGCAGAACTTTTTTGGAAAGTTAAGTTTCAAATGAATAGATGAATTGAGGATAAAATTGGTGAGAAAGATGTAAGTACAGATAGAAGTGTTCAGAATTAAAAAAAATAATGATAATCAATTTGGCCACAACAAATGCTTATTGATAAAAGAGTAGATGAAACTAATAAAAGTGATTGAAACATAACTTTTGGAAGCTCTTGATTAGAAGATCTAAGAATGAAAATTTATCCATTAAAACATTTATGGTTTTTGAGCAAGTAAATAATATAATCATACTAGTGGCCCGGTGCACGAAATTCGTGCATGGGGGTAGGGGGTGTCCCTCAGCCTGGCCTGCACCCTCTCCAATCTGGGCTGGATCCCAGCAGGATAGGGCCTAAACTGGCAGTCGGACATCCCTCTCACAATCTGGGACCACTGGCTCCTAACCACTCACCTGCCTGCCTGCCTGATCAGCCCCTAACTGCTTCTGCCTGCCAGCCTGATAAGTTTTGAGAGATGAAACCAAGATAAATACAAATATACCCAGGAATAAAGGCATCACACTGGGAAATACTGTACAAAAAATAAGCCCAAAAAAGGCAATATCTTAATCCTTAAAAATAACTCAGAGAAAACTATTATATGTTAAGGATTTTTCTCAGCTCTTTTTTTCAATTCTTAAATTTAATGATTTCTAGAATTAAAGAATTTGAAAAAAGGAGTTCATAGACTTTAAGGCTGATCTGATACAAATAATTATAGCTTATCATACATGTTAAAGACAACAAAAGCATAACCACAAAGAAGGAAAATTTTCTTAATGCTCAAGTTGCAAGAAACAACCTGATACTCTGAGAGTATGAATGGCATGCTGTTAGTCCAGATTTAATAAACCTAATACTTAGTAATGGCTTTTATTTTCTTTCTATTTACGTACATATTATGTTAACATTTGTTTGTGGCAAATTATAAAGAAATTCATCATTATGAAATATTTATCCTAAATAAATATGAAGGGAACAAAGAAGGCTATTTGCTCATATGTCAGCATATGTAGCTTTTATTAAAATCTGGTTATTCAATATTAAAAACTAAATACAGTACTTAAACCATGAAAGTATGTTAATTGATGGATTTAATAATGAAATGCAGGTGACATTTCAAATCTTTGAAAAATATCACAATTAAAGAAATGCACAAATAAATATACTTTTCACTGATTAGACTGGCAAGAATTAAAACACAAATTAACATTTAGCATAGTGTGGGGAAACAGATATTCTCAAAAACTGCTAATAAGAATGTTATGATACAATCTCATTGCAATTTTGCAATATATATCATAAATTAAAGGACATATACAGGGACCCAGCAACCCATTACTACAAATTACCATACAGACAACTCACACAATCCCAATGATAGAGTCAAGAATATTTATTGCAGTATTGCTTATATAAGCAAAAAAAAACAAAACAAAACCCTGAGATTTACCCAAGTATCTAAACAGTTATATGTAATGTATATATGAAAAAATGTCCAAGACCAAGATATATTGCTAAATGGAAAGAGAAAGATGCACAATATATACAAGCTATTTTTGATAATTTATGGGGAGCACAGTGCTGGGAGAGAAGAGAGTTTTACTTCTTATTTTTAAATATTTCTATACTATTTGCTCACACATATAAGGAATATGACTTTTATTTTAAAATACAATTTTGAAAATACTGAATGTTGCTTGGCAATATATTTGAAAACAGTCAAATGTACACTGTACAATGTCATCAAGAGTGAAGAACAAATAATCATATTAATTAAAAGGTGTCTTTTTTCACATTACAACAACAGGAAGCACATCTACCGTGCTACTAACACAGAGAGGGTAATTTGGAAATTAAGGAAATTAAGCTAAAAAAGACACACTTTTGGGAAGAACTTCAAATCCTTGGAGTTAGGAATTCTGCAAAATGGAAAAGCTTAGCCGCAGTTGACTAAAATATTCAAGCACAAAATGAAGAGGAAGAGTCTGAATTCAAATATACCTATCAGCCTCTGGGAGGGGAATGCACTAGTCTAAAATCTAATAAAGACACTAAATCAAGCAATCACAAGATTAAATTTCTCTGAATACTCAAAATTTATCAAAAAACACACTTAACATCCATGATGAAATAAAAGAAATACCTGGGGTCCTACATTCAATTAGAATCTGTGTCTAAGAAAACCTTTGTAAAGAGATAGAGGAACAGCATGAGATGGGGTCAACATCCCATCCAACTCTGTGTTCAACCTTTATGGCAGAAGCTGCAAAGAGGAAAAGCAACAAATTGATCCCAGTGGGAAAGAACCTCTCTTCGCTTTGGACTTGCTAGAAGGCAATCAAGCTTCAGGCATAAAAACTCCCCAGCTGACTACGATATCCAACCCAACTAGCCAAATTTCAAATATGGAAGAAAACTAGTGCGAAATGCTTCAAAGTTTTATAAAGTTTCATTTCTTAAGAAAATATAGAGGGGGATAAATGGTGATGGAAGAAGACTTGACTTGGGGTGGTAAACACAATACAATATACAGATAATGTATTATAGAACTATAAACCTAAAACCCATGTAATTTTATTAACCAATGTCACACCAATAAAATTCAATAAAAAAGTAAAAAATATATATTATTTATGTATATTACAGATTTACATTGATAAAACAAACTTTTAAAAAATACTTTTCAGCAAACATCAAGTTTCCTAAGCTATAGGAAACGAAAATGTTATCACAATTCCAGGCTATAATTCAATTTCTTCCTCCACTCCAACAGTTTTTACCCTGAGGAAAATGAGAAAAAGTTTTCTTTACTTCTTACAGAAGTGACCAATCTTCCTAATCTTCTACTTCTATTAGTCTAACACATCTTTTTAAATTTTTAGAAAAATAAGTATTACAAACTAGTACAAAAGAAATAAGTAGTATAAACACTATTAGTAACAAACACTCCAATTTCCATAACATGGATTAATGCCTTCATTTGGGAAGAGTAATCAAAATCAATAATGATTAGCTATTTTATACCAACTAGACTGAAAGAAGACAGGGGATATTTTATTTCTCTTTCCAAAATGTCTATAATGCTGCCTTATATTGCTCATAGGCTCCTTCATACAACTCAATAGCAACTGAAGTGCTAAAGCCCCCATCATATTCCAGCAAATATTCTGAATCTCTATTTGTCTGAGAGATAGCTTTTCATTGTTCTATGTTTAATAAACATTCATTAAGTACTGTGCTGAGATAAATAAAACATGGAAGGTATCTACCTTCAAAGAGCTCACAGTCTAGTAAAGAAAACCGACTATGGCGGTATGGCCAGGTCTGGCTCAAAAACAAAATGATGCTTGAGATGGGACTATTTCAGGAGATAAGCTGATGAGGAGGGAGGGACATTGACAACTGGGGATGCAAGCGGTTGGAGAAGACTGACAACATATACTTAGGACTAAAACTAAGACTATAAAGCCTCATATTTTGTTTACTCAGATACTGCTAGGCATTCTGAAACAGCTACAGTGATAACATTGTATAGCATTTTATAGAGCTTACATTTCATTGTGCAGGTGATGTGGAAAATGAACGGGAAAACTAGAGGAAGGAAAGCAGCTGTAGAATGTTGGCACTCGGAGAATCCAATAAACAAAATTATAGACAGTGCATAAAAAATTTGTAGTATTTTCATATAACAGAATATTACTCAACATTAAAAAATAATGAACTACTGATACAACATGGAGGAAATCTCAAAAAGCATTATGTTGTATGAAAAATAGAAACAAGAGAATACAGAATGTATAGTTTTATATACACAAAGTTCAAGGAAAACTAAGCTATGCTGATAGAATGCAGAATGATGCTTACCTCAGGGAGAAAGGATATTGGATTTGAAAGAGAAGAGCAAGAGGAACTTTCTGGGACAATAAAAATATTCTACATCTTGATCTGGATAGTGGTTATATATATAAACACATATTTTTAAGTCATTCAGCTCTGTACTTTAAAGTTTCCACATTTTACCATACATACATTAGAATTTAATATAAAAAGAAAACTGCACATATAATTGGGGTGGGATAAAGTCAGAGTAAATTAAACCAGTATCATCCCCTGAGTAATACCTAACTTATAAGAAATCAAAATAAAGCTTCTAATAAACCCTGTATATTCAACTAGCAAACAAAATCCCTGTAAGACCTTAAGTACAGTAGCTTCTCTCCTTCAGGAAGATATGCAGGCAAATGTTCCTTATAATGCATGCTAGCAAAATAAAATGCTTTTCCTAAATAAAAAGAAATAGTGCCCTATTAACCAAAAAATAAATATTTTCTACACTGCAGTCACCTATCTCATAAGAGGTAATATAAAGATTAATAAGGCATAAGGAGCACTTAATACAATATACAGACAATAAATATTCTTCAAACTACCATTACTATCATCCTATATTATAAACTCTAATATGCAAATTGACCAAACAGCAGAATGACTGGTCACTATGATGTGCACTGACCACAAGGGGGCAGATGCTCAACGCAGGAGCTGCCCCCTTGTGGTCAGTGCGCCAGAAGCCGGGCTCAAGGCTGGCAGGCACAGCAGGAGTGGTGGGAGCCTCTCCGGCCTCTGTGGGAGCACTAAGGATGTCTGACTGCCAGCTTTGGCCCACTCCTCATGGGGAGCGGGCCTAAGCTGTCAGTCGAAAATCGATGGCTCCCAGACTGCGAGAGGATGCAGGCCAGGCTGAGCACCGGGTCTCTGGTTATTATATAATAGCAATAAAAGGGAAACTGCTTAAATTATGTCTAAACCACTTATTGAGAATACAATATTTAACTGCATATTACTCAATTATAGCACTTCTCATAACAGGTGTGTTTTTTTAACTTTGAGATCAGCAAGTTTCTGACAGCTGAACCATCTGGTTAGATTAGAGAAAGATCAAGTTATGTAATTTTATCAAAGTATTCTTATTTTATATCTTGAAACCAAATACACTTAACAATAGATAGTAAATGTCTATTTTTTAACATTTCAACAGTTTATATTATTAAAAAGCACTTTTTATATTATTAAATATAATATTTAATTTATATATTATTAAATATATTAATAATATTTATATTATTATGCTTTTTATATTAAAGCACTCTTTTTAAAAATATAAGACAAGAAGTCTTATATTATACCAGACCAAAAGTACATGGCCAAAATTCAATTTTTTGAAAGTCAACAGCCTTAAAAAAAATAAAAGCAAATCAGAATGCTAAATTTAAAAAACAGAGATACCCACAAGAAAATATTAAACCATTCATTTTTTAATATTATGTTAAAAAGTCACAATTAGGATAATTTAACCAATTTGTGGAAGTACTTTATTAACTTTATTAACGGAAATAAGAAAGTAAAGTTCACAAAAGCAAAGACTACTCAAGTACTATAATCCACAAGTGAAGCAACCTAATAAACCTTTTATTGAATCTGATTTTCTAACATGTTTTATAGTTATTAGAAACTGCACACCTAAGTTATAAAACTCAACATAGAAGAGGAAATTATTCAGTTCCACAATTTGATAGCTGTATTTTTCTCCCACCAAATCATCTGGGTCAAGTGCATCAAAAAGTCAATTCTTTGGATTTCAGAATTTTATTAAAAAACTCATTGATTCTGGACTAGAAGGCACTTTTTTTTTTTTTTTTTTTGTATTATTCCTTGTTTGGTATGTACTATTTTAAAAAAGCAGTCTTCTACTTACCTAGATTTTGTCTTATTAACATCTTGCTGCAGGAGCAATCTCATTCAAAATTAAATCAAACCTGAAAGAATACAAGTAAAACCATCACTTAATTTTCCACTCCAGATATGAATAATTATATCTATGACACACAATGCTTTTAAATTAAAAACTACAAATCAAAATTTTTCTTGGTAAGACATCTATCTGAAAAATTGTTCAACTAAAACATGATTATTTTAACCTTCATGAAACTGGCTAAGTCCTATTATTTTTTTAGAAAAATAATCTATTTGCTGAAACCGGTTTGGCTCAGTGCATAGAGCGTCGGCCTGCGGACTGAAAGGTCCCAGGTTCGATTCCGGTCAAGGGCATGTACCTGGGTTGCGGGCATATCCCCAGTAGGAGATGTGCAGGAGGCGACTGATCGATGTTTCTCTCATCGATGTTTCTAACTCTCTATCTCTCTCCCTTCCTCTCTGTAAAAAAATCAATAAAATATATTTTAAAAAAAAAAGAAGAAGAAAGAAAAATAATCTATTTAAATGAGAAATAGTTTCTAGTTCTCTTCAAAACATTTTACAAAATTTGTTGTAATAACTTTAATAGTATGTCAATAGCTATAATTAAAATCAGAATTTGTTCATAAAACATAATATCTAGATCACTGTTTACCTAATGTTATTATGTACATATCAAAAAAATGCCAAATAGTTGAAGAAAAAAATACAGAATAAGATACATAAAAGTATATACTAATAGTAGCTATAATAATAGCTAATGTTGATTAAGTACTTTAATAAATACCAAGAATTATTACAGAGAATAGCATATATTGATACCCTCCTACTTCCTCAATTTAATCTTCAATCTAGTATAATGTAACCTTCACCCCAACACTCCACTGAAAATTTACTTGTAAAAAATCTACTTATCTCTGATTTTATCACATTCTATTAATTCTGAGGACTCAGTATGTCCTACCCTGAACTCTAAACATCTCTTTCCCCTGCCTCAAACAGGCTTGTAACTCTTCTGAATTCTTATTCTCAAAAAACTGCACCAGCATACCTATTGCCATTTATATCTAGATTACTAAACTGTTCTATTTCCAGACTATCTTCTCAAATTCATCCTTTCCAGAACTATAAAAGTAATCTTTTTGCAATGTCTATATTGAAGATGTCATATCTATGCTTCAAGTCCTTCAACAGTACCATCAATAACTGCATCTCTATCTACCCCTAATTTTTACTCTCACTTTTACCCCATGCTTCTACTACACCAAATTCTTCAACTCTCAGAACACCCTCATGCTCTCAGCTTTCATACCTTTTCAGAGGGTGAACTATGCCTCCTTTATATCTCTTTTTAACTTCACTAATACCTTTTTACTAGTTTTTCAAATATTTAGCCCAGTCACCCTGACAGATCCTTCTTTAATTTCTCCAGCTATGTATAGCTGTGTTTCTAAACTGCTATAGCAACTGGTAGCAGTTCTGTATCAACCCTATCTGTTTACTTGTGTATTTTCTGAACTACAATGTCGACAAAAATTCATTTATCTCATTTTAGCATTTTCACTGGATGAGCACATTATAAAAGCATAACAATGTAGACTGACTACAGAAATTCTGTGTTGTATCCTAAAATGTACATAGGAATATAGAAGAAAAACAAGTAAAATTCAGGCTGAGTTGAAGTCACATTTTCAAAGATCGGAGGGAAAAAATTCACATCACTTCTGGATCTAGTCATGTTACTTTATGAAATAACTATGTATAAGTGAAATATAATTGGCAAAAATCAGCCAAGTAAAATCTTTTGTTGGAAAGGGATGAATTCTTTCCTAGAGCCTTCAGAGAGAGAATAATCCTGCTGACACCTTAATTTCTGTCCAGTGATATTGATTTCAAACTTCTGGCTTCCAGAACTATGGGAGACTAAGTTTTTGTTGTTTTAAGCCATCTATAGTCTGTGGTAATCTGTTAGACCAGTCATCAAAAACTAATATACTGAGTATGGTAGGTTCTCTAGGAAATAAATTAGAACCACAACATAAAAGTTGTTATGGACTTAATTGTGTCCCTATAAAATGCATATTGTGAAGCCCTAACACCCAATGTGACTGTATACTTGAAGACAGGGCCTTTAAGGACATAAATGAGGTTCAAATGAAATCGTAAGTGTGGACCCTAATCCAATAGGACTGATGAATATTGAGAAAAAAATACTCAAAAAAAATACCCTCAGCAAACCAGGTTCAACAGCACATTAAATGAATTATACCATAATGATCAAGTTGGGTTTATTCCTAGAAGGCAAGATGGCTCAACAAATAAAAATCAATCAATGTAATACACCACATTAATAGAATGAACGACAGAAATCACAATAATCTCAACCGATGCTGAAAAAGCATGATAGAGACAATCAATAAACTAAGAATAGAAGGAAACTACCTCAACATAATCAAAGCCATATGTGAAAAACCCACAAATAACATCCTACTTAATTGGTGAAAACAAATTAAGGCTGAAAACGTTTTCTCTAAGATCAAGAAGATGAGATGCCCACTTATACATATTACTTCTATTCAACACAGTACTTAAAGTACTAGCCAGAGCAAATAAATCAGAAAAATAAAAGGCATCCAAACTGGAAAGGAAGAAATAAAATTATCTGTTTGCAGATAACATGATCTTTTAGGTAGAAAATTCTACAGATTCTTAAAAACAACTGTTAAAATCAGTAAATGATTTCAGCAAAATTGCGGGATATAAAATCAGCATATGAAAATGAGTTATTTCTATATACTAAAAATGATCAAATTGAAAAACTAAATAATGAAAAAAATCTCATTTAAAAAGCATAAAAAATAATACTTGGGAACAGACTTAACCAAGGAGGCAAAAGACTTTTACATGAAAAAAATTACAAAACATTACTAAAATAAATCAAAGATACAAATAAATGGGGAGACATCCCATGTTCATGAACTAAAAGACTTAACATTGTTAAAATATCTATACTACCCAAAATAATCTAAAGTTCAATGCAATCCCTACCAAAATCTTCGCACATCAAAGGAAACAATCAACAGAGGAAAAAGGCAATCTACAGAAGTGGAGAATAATTTTTGCAAATCATGTATTTGATGAGGTTAATATCCAAAATATAAAAAGAACATCTAACACTCAACATTAAAAAAAAAACACACAAAAAAATGGGTAAAGGATTTGACTAGACCCGTGGTTGGCAAACTGCGGCTCGCAAGCCACATGCGGCTCTTTGGCCCCTTGAGTGTGGCTCTTCCACAAAATACCACGTGCGGGTGTGCATGTACATTGTAATTGAAACTTCGTGGCCCATGCGCAGAAGTCGGTATTTTGTGGAAGAGCCAGTATTTTGTGGAAGAGCCACACGCAAGGGGCCAAAGAGCTGCACATGGCTCATGAGCCACAGTTTGCCAAGCCGCAGTTTGCCGACCACTGGACTAGACAAATATCCAAAATAGATATACAAATATCCAACAAGTAGATGAAAAGATGTTCAACCTTCCTAATTATAAGAGAAACATAAATCAAAATCACAATGAGATATTATTTCACATCCAATAGGATGGCCACAATCCAAAGAACAGAAAATCAGTGTCGACAAGGATGCAGAGAATTGGAATTCTTGTACATTGTTGGTGGGAATGTAAATAGTGCAGCCATTACCGTATGGAAGTTTCTCAAAAAATTAAAAATAGAATTACCATATGATCCTGCAATCCCAGTCTGGGTATGAATCCAAAAGAATTCAAAGTAGGG